AATAAATATGTTTCATTGTTATAAAGTAACTTCCTTTTTATTTCAGTGTATAAGTCACGATGCATTCGAAAGAGAAAAAAATGCGGTGCAGTCTAATCAAGGTGATACATTTCCTTTCGAACGGTGACATTTAACCGATTGGGTCTTTCAGAGAATTAGAGCTAGCTATGTTGTAGAAATAATGAGAATACGTGATTAAAAATAACCAGATCTTGCATAGATTCGATAGAGGAAATATACTGTTGCTTTCGTTTTAAAAATAATCCGCATAAAAAATGTCTAAGTAACTGAAAAACGTGTTTAAATAATTTTTAACTTGTTACGGAATATGTAGGCATATATTTTATATAATAAGTATCCTTGATACGAATATTTGAACCAAGATCTAGACATTACGATTTAATTAGTATATTTCTAACTGTAAAATATTTTAACTAAAGTAGGACAAATGTTATGGAAAATTATTAATATTTCTTAAACGACTCAAATGCAGTTCTGTCACGTCAATGATTTTTACAGTAATTTATAAATCTAATCCAATAGTCTAAAAATTTATAAGAAAATAATTTGTCAAAGTAATCGAAGGAAGAAAAACTGTTACCGAAGCATCAAAAACGGGTCTTAATTTAGTAGTAGCGCTATCTAATTTTATCACATGGCGATGAGGAAGATAGTGAACATCTTCTTTCTTCTCCTCATTCTTAGGTACATACTCAATAATCCCTTCAGATAACCATTCTAAAAAAACTTTATCATATTCATCGTAATATCCATAATTTTTCAATTTTATCATTAAACAGTCGAGACGTTGTTTTGCCAACTTGAAATTATTAAGAATTGGGGAATGGCCATCATTGTTAACAGTTACAGAATTTTGGAAGTGCTGAAACACTGCAATCTCTGCTTCTTCTTCTTTAGTTTGTTAATCAATAGGATTAGTAATTCCAAGTACATCAAGATTCCATAGATTACAAATTTGTTCATTCTTACATAGAAGAGAAGTAACCATCATGCTAGTGGACTTTGAAATATTCAGACACGAATTAGCAGCCTTTCCGAGAATAGTCCATCCTAGGATCGTTTCAATAGCAGTTAAACCACATTTTAAATTATACTTCTTGCCTGTGAAGAGTTTTCCCACAACATCAGCTCCTATCAGGATATCAATTGGACCGTTATCGGTATCAGCTATTTCTATCCCTAATTGTTTTAACTTGTGCATCCAGGGACCTTCATGGATGGAAGTAATATTGCTACATATTATAGGCTGGTCTAAAACCTGGAAATTACATGCATATCTTTTATTTAAATTATCTAAGCTAATTTTATATACAGAGTGGTTGACAATTTCTGACTGACCACTAAATAATGCATGTACTATAGACTCAGTTCCAAGTGGTTCAAAATTCATATCAGCAGCAACAAATTTGTTAAAGTAGGATCTTTGAAAGTCGGTGTCTAATATAGGTACATCTCACTTTTCTTGTACATGTATCACTCTTCAGTTCAACAACAATAGTCTGTAAAAATACTTGATGGTATGTATTATTCACAGGGGATTCTACGTTTATACTGTTATTAATTCCAGGACTTTCTTCGGCTACTGTCTTTTCACCTGTCGATAGATTTGTACACATTAATGAGACATGCTTTCCTTTACATTGTTGACATTCTAATCGAACTCGGCATCTACGAGCTATATGACCATGCTTTAAGCATAGGTGACAATGTCCCTTTTTCGACAATATATATTTTTTTTTCAATCGAGCTCATTTTGTTAGCATCAATACAATCGTCACTTAGATGAGTATCCTTGCAGAAAACACACTTTAGCACCTTTTGATAATTAATCATACCAGAAGCTGTCGGAATTGAGATATTTTGTTTTACTTCATTTTTAGAATTTAAATCAAAGCAAGAAGTAGCCAGGCAAATTTTCTCTTCAACTTCTTTCTTCAAAAATGTCATCAGTTTTATCAATCCTTTGTCCGTACTTTCCAAAACGTGTCTTTAAACTGTCAATGACTTTATCGTAATTTTCTGCGCTAGGTGGGTAACTTTCTACTAACTGTCGAGTTCGGGATTTTGAAATAGTAGATTGTACAAGATACTGGAATTTATCTACTTTTCAATACTTGGATCTTCGTAAATTCTTTTAAATTGGCTCCAGAATGGAATCCATTTATTTAAATTACCTCCAAATTTTTAGAATTCGTTACGTGGCAGTTTCAACTTTGTTTTCTAACAAGTATTAGAATGACTTGATTTACTACTATCACAAATGCTGTCACCAGAATTCTTAGGAAAACGTTCATCAATTTTAATTTTTAATTTATTATACTTGCTATTCAATAGATCGGAAGTTCATTACTTCAGCAATTATTTTTGGTTTGGAGGAATCATCAGATGAATCAAGTAACATATCAATTAATTTCTTACTAAGGAGGTTAATATTTTCCATTTTATCATCCAGGACAAAAATATTGCTTTTTATAGAAGTGGTATCGGGTTGAGAAAGATCTAATTCGTTAATTGTATCTTCAAACACTCTATCAAAAGCATTCCGTTGAATGTCCAAAAGCCGTTGTGTCTTCTCCATAATCAACAGGAACTACAGTGTCCTGTCACGGTCGCCACAAATGTTTAGAATGGGTTAATACCTAATCGGTAAAAACTCTTCTAATAAAAATAGAAATGGAGATGTGATATAATTCAAAACGACTTTAATCAAAAATAAAACATTGACAATCAATAATATTTATGACATTTATAAAAAATAACTATATCTGTGCAGAAGACTATAGAATAGACCTAGGTATAAACTATTAGTTTCTTCATTTTCTGCAAATATCTTAATTTACTAATGTACTCTCTAGTTACAGCCGAAAATAGACATTAATTAGAAAGAAATGGTTTACAAATAAAAAGATAAAAATCTGATGACACATGACTTTCCTGTTTAGTTATTACAGGCGTTTTCCGGTTATTTTGCACAACATATTATATCACCCCTGTCAATATTCATTGCCAACGAAAATACTGAAAAATTAAAATTTTATGCTTTTCCTCAAATTTTTTCATTACGGTCCATTTTTGAGAAATCATATATGGAATAGAAATTATAGAGAATCATATCACAAACAATTTTTATTTGAATAACTTTCTAAAAAATAGATTTTTGTAATTTTTGTCAAATTTCTCGAATATGGACCATTTTAGGAAAATTATGCAAGGGACAAAAATTATAGAAAATAACATTACCTATAAGCAACTTTTATTTATAAAAGTTTCTTCTCCATCTTAAATAACAGATATATTTCATAAAGAAGAAAAACGACTCTTTATAAAGTACCCCCCAGATGTTCCAACTATGCGCAAAATTTAATCAATTAACCAAAGGATGGATTAAAGCTTAAATTTAAAACATACTTTTTCTCAAATATCTCGAACACGGTCCATGTAAAATAATAAATCAAAAGGAAATACTAAGTTTAACTACGATTAAATGAAGAATATATTACGAAACTGTAATTGACATGAACATTCAAATTATTATCCAAAAAATTACATTCATAAACTACTACATAAAAATCTGATGTGTCCAACACATGACTTTCCTATCTAGTTATTATAGGCTTTTTCCGGTTATGTTGTACAACCTATTGCAACACCTCTATAAATGTTTAGAAGATAAACTAAATATATACATTTTCCACATACATCTACCTCGAAACATTTTTCTATAGATATTTATTGAAAACTAAAATACTGAAAAATTTAAATTTAGCACTTTTCCTACAATTTTTCCATTACGGTCCATTTTAGAAAAATCATGTAAAAACAAAAATTATAGACATCGATATCGCAAACAACTTTTAGTTCAACAATTTTCTTAAAAATCAGAATTTTGCATGTTTTGTCAAATTTATCGAATACGGACTATTTCAGGAAAATTTGACATAAAGCAAAAATTATCGATAATAATATAAGTAACTTTTATTTGAAAAATTTTCTTTTCCAAACGTAAATAACAGATGTATTCCATAAAATATAAAAACGGCCTCCCATAAATTACCTCCCCAGATGTTCCGACTGTTCAAAATCTATCAATTTCACTTCAGGCCGAAATAAAACTTAAGTTTAAAATTTAATGTATTTTCCACTATCCGTTTATGAGTTTTCTTCAAAATTCAAAATTTACACATTTTCTCAAATATCTCGAATACGGTTCATTTTAGAAAAATTATGTATAGAATAAAAATTATAGACAATTATATTAAAAACAACTTTTATTTAAATAATTTTTATAAAAAACTAATTTTTTTACATTTTGACAAATTTCTCGAATACGGGTCATTTTAGGAAAATTTTATATAAAACAAAAATTATAGATAATTAGTAAGTAACTTTTATTTAAAGAATTTTCTTTTACAAACGTAAATAACAGATATATTCCATAAAATATAAAAATGACCACATATAAAGTACCCCCGCAGATGTTCCGACTCTGCCCAAAATCTAATCAGTTTACTGGAGGCCGGAATAAAGCTTAAGTTTAAAATTTGGTGTTTTTCTTTGTATCCGTTCATGAGTTATCGAGGATACACACACACACACACACACACACACACACACACACACACACACACACACACACACACACACACACACACACACACACACACACACACACACACACACACACACACACGCACCCACGCACGCACGCACGCACGCACGCACACACACACACACACACACATACACACACACACACATACACACACCCTCAGAAACTTGAGGTCAAAAAAAATCATGATTCCTATACTTTCATTATCTGTATACAGACAGGCAGGAAAGTAAAAATAAAAAAATGAAAACAAATAGAGAAAAATGAAATAAAAAAAAGTTTTATAAAAAGGGTTTAGCTTAAAATGTAGATAGTAAAAGTATAGAATATGTATTTATTAAATTAATAAGTTGTTTATATTTATTTACAGGTTGAAAGTAAAGCAATAAACCTAACGTTCCCCCTGATGTTCAACCCTGTAACGTGGGACGCCCATGCTTTCCCGGTGTTTTTCGGTGGTACTGAAGTAAGCGAAGATGGACTCATCATAAGCGTGCCTTCTGTACAACTCGTTTATTTTGGAAATTCTGACTCCAAAAAACTTGAAAACTTGTAAGTATATTGGCTGATTTTAAAATTTAATATGAAAAATAGAAAACTAAAGATATACCATCAAAAATTAAAAACACACAACATAAACTACAGCTTCATACTTTCTACATCATTTTACATGATAAAAAAAGAAACTAAAAGTTAAAAACAAATTAAAATCTATACAGACATACAAAAAATATAAAGTATAAATTTATAATAATTTTATACATGATTATTTATTTAACATTCTTTTTTTTAGGGGTTCGGCGTGGGAAGACGCCTTTTTGGACCTTATCGAACAAATCCAAGACAAAGACAACATATTTAAACACATCAGGATAGCTCGATTTGCCTCTAGAACCTTAGATCACGAATTAGAAAAAAATACGAAATCTGTTTTACCCTATTTTACATCCACGTTCGTTATTATGGCTATCTTTTCAGTGGGTAAGTGGCGCAGTCAAACAGGATACATTTTCTATAACAAAATATTATTTCAATCTTTTTAGTTACCTGCATGATGTTCGATTGGGTGAGATCAAAACCATGGTTAGGCCTGTTAGGTAATATCAGCGCTGCTATGGCAACACTGTGTGCTTTTGGGCTGTGTATGTACGCAGGTGTGGATTTTATAGGATTAAACTTGGCAGCCCCGTTTTTGATGATAGGTAAAAAAATATATGTCATTCCAGCTTTTGTGAATGTATATTAATTATCTTGTTTTTGCTTTCCTAGGTATTGGAATAGATGACACTTTTGTGATGCTGGCAGCTTGGAGAAGAACGTCTATAAAAACGCCTGTTCCTGAAAGAATGGCGCATATGTTGAGTGAAGCTGCTGTCTCAATTACTATCACTTCTGTCACAGATTTTTTCAGTTTTTGGATTGGTATATTCAGTCCTTTTCCATCTGTTACCATATTTTGTATTTATTCAGGTAATAATTAAAAAAAAATATATCGATAGGGTTAAAATATGGCGATCTTGTGGGTCATTCTGTTTTTAATTCGTAATGTTTAATTGCTTTTTTGTATAATGTAAACTATTCAGAATGTATTTTATAATCTATTTCTCTTGTTTTAGGTGCAGCGACGTTGCTATTATTCATTTGGCATTTGACATTCTTCGCAGCCTGTGTTGCCATCTCTGGATATTGTGAACAGAAAAATTTACACGCAATATTCTGTTTCAAAGTTTTGCCCAAGTCCAAATCAAGTAAGTAAAAAAGCAATAATATTTCTTTTTTAATAATTAAACTTCTAAATAAAAGTAAACAAAAAATTACCAATAGAAGATTAGTTAGTATTTTTGTAATGACCTAATTTACTAACTATAATATTTTTGTAAGTTTATTGGTATATAATCTATTCTTGTATTGGTAAAATTAATGTAAGCGAATTTTTGTGCGCCACTGTTTAGACCAGTTTTGTATGCTATTGATTCAGTTTAGAAGATTTGATACTGTTTCTTTTATAATTGATTCTATGATCAAAAGAACTGCATTATCAGCATTTTCTCTCTCTAATAGTGGTATAATAAATATAATACTTGTGTAAGAATACATCCCTGTGGGACGCAAGCATAATCTGACTTGAATTCAGAGTATTCAAAAACCTTCTAATCTGTTAATAAGGATTAGTAAGGATTAGGAACTACTAAACTTATCTCTTGCACTGTAGAGCTTGCGGATAGAATGTCTTCACCTGGGCATTTACCATCAAGGTGGTAGAAGCCCACCAATTGGCCACTTCCCAAAAAATGGGACATTTAGAGAAACTTCTCGGCGACGTTATTAATCTGTAGGACTTTTACCTGAGTGGATGGCTGTCCCTAGACACTCCACAGCCACAACCAGCTAGTTTTTGATGTAGAACTTTACACACCTTTCAGTATCAATTAGCAGGTTTCTGTTGAAATCCTGCAGGACTTTGATGAGCTGGAAAGGCGACTATCTCAAAACACCTCTCAGCGACAACCAGCAGGTTTTGACAAGTCAAGAGATAGGTTGTATATGCTCCTGAATAATGCTCAATGGGCTTTAATATGCTGTGAAAGTAACTTTACAGATACAGATACTAACCTCACTCAGAGGTGGTGCTAAGTGATAATGAAAGAATAAGCGAACCCTTGTTCAAATGCAGTAAGACGATTAGTTTGAAGATCTAAGTGTGATAGATATTGCAGTGGTACCCATCCAGAGCAGATTAACAAGTAGTAGTGTTGGAAACAGACCTCGGCCAATAGTACAGAATCAAAGTGATGTGATAGAGATATGAAGTTTGAATAAATAATGGTTTAAGGATCCCACCAAAATCAATTGGATGGTGGAGGGCAGAACTCAAATAAAGTTGAGGGTGGATGGATGAAAGGGTTCTTATAGAAGGAATGGTTTTCTCCAGGTAGAGGGTATGATTTTAGGTGGAAGCCAGCTCACCATGCCCGAATGTAAAGTTAAATCGACACAACGAAACACGACAAGTCAAATCTGCATATTAAAAACCCGGAAGGTGAGAGTTTACAGCTTGTCATCCTTCAACTGCGGAATAATTTTCTCTCCAATAACTGCTACGTATATTTAAATATTTCAAAGTTTTTGTCAGACCATTACTTTTTCTATTTACTCTTATATTTTCTATACCTATGGCTTCCATAAAATCATTATTTTTTTGCTACAGAAATTTTTATTGGATTACTGAAATACATAAAGTCGGAAAAATATTTTTTATTATTTATTTGATAATCTATACATTCTGAGTTTATACAGGGTAGTCACTCTTTCAGTGTATACCATTGGGATATCCTATACGGTAAGAGATACAGTATTGGTTAAATTAGAGAAAATTTACGCTAGCGTATGCCCATTAAGAATCTAATTTAAAATCTAAAATATCTACAGGGGGTTTTCAAAATATCGGGTTAAAACTAACGAAATAGTCTACATCCTTTGGGCAAATTTAACGAAAATTTAGACTTTTGTATTATGAGCTACGTCCAATCAATTGGCTTTACCGAAAAATGCCCAGGGCTTCTAGATTTATTGGTATAGAAGGCCAATAAGTTAATAAGAAAAGCAAAATTGAAAATTAAAAATAATATTTCAACCTAACCTCACTTTTATATAAAAAAAAATTTATGGCTTAATATGGTATCGTTCAATTGGGAATTTTGTTGATTGTTCAGTTATATAAAAATCTAGTATGGAGGCCGTAAGAAACAACAGACTATAGTTGCACACAATCTAGAAGACCTGGGAAATTTTCGATAGCCCCAGTCGATTGGACGTAGCTTTATAATACAAAAGTCTAACTTTTTGTTAAATTTTCTCAAACAATGTAGACAATATAGAAAATTTTTAAAAATGACACTTTTTAGATTTTATCAAATATTATGAAAACCCCTGTATGTATTTCAGATTTTAAAGCAGATTCTTAATGGGCGTGAAACAGCGCAACTTTTCTCTTATTTAACCAGCACTGTATCTCTTACCGTTTAGGATATTCCTAATGGTATACACTGTAAGAGTGATCACCCTATATAAAACAAAATATTATTACTTAAAATTGGTTCTTATTATCTAAGTTATCTTTTAATTTTGTCATAAAACAAATACCTTTATTTTTACGCCTCTTCATTTTGTACAACAAAGTTACCATATACATTTTAATCCCTGGTTCTTTCATTTTTTTAAAACTCATTACCTCTATAGTTTTAACTGCATCTGAAATTACCCCTGAAATCACCTCTATAAACTCCTCTGTAGTTTTGACCTCTAAAACCTCTATTTTCACCAACATTTCCTCTACTACAGCTTCGAAAACTTCCTATAGATGTTTTTGCTCCTGCATTTTTTGTAGTGTCCTCTTCCTCCACATGTAAAGCAAATTTTCCCCTCTATTGCCTACTGAAAAGGCTGCTGGCTTAACCTTGTTTCTACCTTCATAATTATCACCAGATTTTTCTTTCATCCTTAATTTGTAATTTAGTTTCTGCGATTTCAATTGTTAAATCCTCAATATTCATATTTTCTTATATTGTAATTGGAGATACAAAAGCTGGAGGCATAGCAATTAGTAATGTACAGTACATTATGTACTCACCAAATCTTCGTCTTTAATTTCAGCTCTTGTTACTTTGAGTTGTCGAACAATTTCTTTGAATTCGGACATAAAAATCTCTAATTTATTTGCCTTTTGTATTTTCATACCTTCCTCTAAGCTTTTCACAAAAAGCTGTCTTTGTTATGTATTATATCTATTTGATTGTTAGCTACTTCGTTCTTGGAATCATTATCGTAATTGTCTTCTTTAAACTAATAATTAATACTTTATAACACATCTCTCTCTTCAAATAAAACATGCATACGAAATTTCCATGTATGCTCATTCTAGATTAAAATTATGTTTCGGTTGTTCTGACGCCATTTTATAATCTGTCACAACGGCTTTTGAATCAGTATTATCACTCTTTAATCTTTATGCATTCCTAGGTCCATAACCTCTTGTAGTTATCATATAATATATTACACAAAAGCAAATTATCGTCTAATATAATATACAAAAGCAAGTTATTACGTTTAATAACTTTTATAAACATACAAAATACAAAAATGTGTAACAAGAATAAATGGCATTTCTACTTATTAATTTTTTTCTACCAAAAGCACTTCATTTTGTTCGACTTTTATGACATCTGACAATTGATATTACGTTTTCTTCTTAGATCAGCAAATAACTAGACTCTAACTTATATGAACTAAATGGGTTTATAACAACAAATTCTTATAGATTTAAATTTTTTAATCAATATTTTTTAGTCGATGGTTTTAAAAGCGCTTCTCAAATCCAACTGCTACTATAAAGTTACCATTGTCAATAAATTGGTCCCATTTAATAAATGTAATTAAGTAATGTTTGTGTCTCTGACTTATAGGTGGAAGAAGACATTTCTGTAAATTAGATACTATTCTAGTACTTAATCCACATCCCTATAATTTTTAATAACCGTACAATTTGTTTCTGTCTTTCTTCGTAACATAGGAAATTACATTAAACGGAATTGCCGAAGTGGTACTGCCCCGAATACCGCGCAATAAAGTATCGTTAGTAGGTACTCCTGTTTGTCGGTTAAAAAGTGTTACACCGGCACTCGGTCGTACCGTTGCGTAATGGCCTAAGGAACGAGACTGATTTGTACGTACGCGTACCGAAAAGGCACAAATTTAAAGGCCGTACCGTACTGATGTTAATTTTCAACCGATCGAAGATATATGTTATTTACAAATTAAAAAAAATAGTACTTTCACTTTAAAAACTGTGTATTTTTTATTATTTAATAAATAAATCAATCGATGAAAAACTCAATTATATCAATAACACATAAAATATATTTTTTTGAAATTATTTATAACTAGTCAGTATCAGGCCTATAATAAAAAATAACTAAGCTGTAACAAGTTAAGGCTGCAGTAGCACACGCCAGTAATTGTAGCAATTACTAATTTAGATAGATGTCATGTATGTATATCTCATATTATTTGATAAATGAAACAATATTTTATTTATTATTAATCCGATACTGGTCAACATGGCAACACTGTCATGTTTTGTGTAGTTAACTGAAACTCTGCTGAAATAAGAAATTTTATTCTTAACTTTTAAGGTGCGTATAGATATAACGGGGCCAGTACAGACCTGAATCGTCAGATTTGAATAGGGTGTTGTGGATTTACCGCGCAATAGAAAGCAATGGGCCTACATACAGCACCGTACATATCTGACAAACTTGTCCCGTTGTTGGGATGCCATATTCTTTTTTGTATTTTAAATAAAAACATAATGATTATCTTGAGGATTATCGTCGGCGGTTGTCGCGTCGCCTGTCTTCTTGCTTACCAAATGTGTGAAGCGTAACGTTAATGTATCTGTCGTCTTTGCCGTCGTGACTGTTGTTGTCTGTCGCGCCTTGCGAAATGGTACCTTTAACTATCAGTACAAATTCCACCGCCTGACAGGTTCTAGAAACTTGTGTGAATACAGGATGAACCGTTCCAAAAACATAGCTTGGGGTATACGTGGTGTCATAGAAAAGTCTTTGGCTGTTAAAGCGAGGGATTGAGCGTTTAAGTCTCGCCTACCCCTTAGATAAAAGAGACCGGAGATGTAACATTGCACATTGCGCATGTTGTCTATTCCAAACCTAAGTAACCCACCAATTAA